TTTCCCTCTCATGTTATTCTCCCAGGGGATCCTGCCCATCAGTTCCCTGAGGGAGTTAAAGTCTACTTTTCTGAAGTCCAGGGTCCGTATTCTGCTGCTCTCCTTTCTTCCTTGTGTCAGGATCCTGAACTCGACCATCTCATGGTCACCGCCTCCCAGGTTCCGATCCACTTTTGCTTCCCCTACTAATTCTTCCTGGTTTGTGAGCAGCAGGTGTAGAAGAGCTTTGCCCCTAGATGGTTCCTCCAGCACTTGCACCAGGTAATTGTCCCCTACACTTTCCAAAAACTTCCTGGATTGTCTGTGCACCACTGTATTGCTCTCCCAGCAGATATCAGGGTGATTAAAGTCTCCCATGAGAACCAGGGCCTGCGATCTAGTAACTTCTGCTAGTTGCCAGAAGAAAGCCTCGTCCACCTCATCCCCCTGGTCTGGTGGTCTATAGCAGACTCCTACCACAACATCACCCTTGTTGCTCACACTTCTAAACTTAATCCAGAGACTCTCAGGTTTTTCTGCAGTTTCATACCGGAGCTCTGAGCAGTCATACTCCTTTCTTACATACAATGCAACTCCCCCACCTTTTCTGCCCTGCCTGTCCTTCCTGAACAGTTTATATCCATCCATGACAGTACTCCAGTCATGTGAGTTATCCCACCAAGTCTCTGTTATTCCAATGACATCATAGTTCCTTGACTGTGCCAGGACTTCCAGTTCTCCCTACTTGTTTCCCAGGCTTTTTGCATTTGTGTATGGGCACTTTAGATAACTCGCTGATTGTCCCGCTTTCTCAGTCTGAGACAGGAGTCCTCCCCTCTTGCACTCTCCTGCTCGTGCTTCCACCCGGTATCCCATTTCTTCACTTACCTCAGGGCTTTGGTCTCCTTCCCTTCTCCTTCCCCCGGTGAACCTAGTTTAAAGCATCACCTTTGTCTTCTCCAGAATGTATCTCACCATATCCCTGTTGCAGATAGTCTCCAGGAGGGAAAAATTGCATGACTCTGGCCAAAAGGCACAGAGCTGACTGGTTACCAGAATACAGCTGGACTACAGGCATCTGTCATTGCCCAGCACTGCCCTCTTAACTCTCTTGGAAAGCTAGGAAGAGAGTTGTTGAAGAAGAATTCCTTCCACTCTCTCTAGATTCCCTAAGCCACCTCAGTTGACCTTGTGGTAAATGGTACCAAAGATTGCCATCAATGACACCAGATTTTTGCCTATCACTAGAATGATCGTTAATGAAGTACATCAATACAGTCTCTAAATAGCTATTCTTTTGGTAGCTGTGTGTTAAGAATGCTCCTTTAACACAATCCTTAAATCCATTATTGAGAATCTTTCCTGGCCATGTCTGTCCTCCGCACAAATGCTGTTGCTAGCTATCACCTGAAGGGCATGGGTACACCTCATAAATTGTAAGCCAAATTTCCCGCAGTGCATCCTGAACTACTGTAAATGAAAGAAGTTCCCCTAATGAAGATGGTACATTTTTTTTTCACCATTGATTTTGATCCCAGTGAAACAGTCCAGGTGTGGGTATTGTCATTTGTATTGACACCGTAGGTGAAAATCCTTACACTGATAAAATGCTCAGAACTGTTTCTGTGTGGAGGCAGGCTGCTCACTTACGCTGGTGTGGGCTTCAGAGTCTTAGTGATGGAAAAGAAAAGAACTCTTGGTGTTCACAGCTACAGTGTGTCTGACTTCTATGGTTCCGTCTGATGAGGGAACCTATGAGGAGAATGGAGGGGTTGCTCTACTTAGTGGTTGAAGACACAAGATCACAATCTCCTCCTTGGCCATTGCCTGGAGCATGACCTTGGTGTAATGTGGCTACCTTCCCCTTTTCCCTTGTCTTGAATCCTCTTGGTGCTATCTATCTTGTAGTGGTTCAAGTGATGTAGAAGAGGCTTGGCATAGCTGCTGTTCTTATTTTGCCTCCAGAGGTCCCAGATGTCTATCTGTAGGCATCTTCTTTGCCAGACTAATTGTGACTAGGGCTTCCTAAGCTGCAGAAATGGAGAAGTTTCTTTAATCATCCCTTAATTTTAATCTTAACATTTCAAAATGATCTGGGGGATTCTGATGGTCATTGTGGGAGCGACACTGCTAAACCCTGTCACAGTGCTAGAAACTGTAAAGCTCACTGCCTTCTTTCTCTGTCGTGCAGTATTAGATGGTCAAAAGACTGAACTAAGCAGTATGCAACTCTTAGCTTAATCTTATTCAGAAGTGTGCATAAGGGAGCAACAGTATTGTGGGCTGCTTTCCCCTTAGATAACTGCATTACCTGTAGTACTACTTAATGTTACATTTGCCCTGCAAGTAGAAGGGTAACGTTTTTCTTCCAATGTACTCCTGTTGTGCTGGCAGGTAGTGATAGAATGATATAATGCATGCTGGACTGCTCCTGGGCTATGAATGTTACTCATGGTTATGGGGTAGAGTGCTATTTCCTTTAGAGATGCACAAGTGTGCTTTTGGGGTTATAGCTGATTGTTGGCTGGGATACTGAGGGTTTTGCTCCACACAGAGGCGGCAGGGTGGGTAGAAAATGAACCTGCAGTGATGAACGCTACTCAAAAGCAAAGTAGGCATCTTCAGGAAGCCTTCCTGGTGGATGACCTTTATATGATACTACAGAACACAGATCTTCTGGTTGCAAATGCACACGAATATGGGAGGCAGGTTATGGGAATTCTGTCCGTTCTACAGTAACTTCCATTGTTCTATGCAGCAGTGGTGTAGTTGTGTTTTTCCCAGGATTTTAAACACACAAGGTGGGTGAGGTAATATTTTTTTTTTATTGGACCAACTTCTGTTGGTGAGAGACAAGCTTTTGAGCTACACGGAGCTCATCTTGAGGTCTGGGAAAGGTACTGAGGCGATATCTACACTACAGCACTTACAGCAGCGCAGCTGCGCCTCTGTAGCACTTGTGGTGGAGATGCTCTAAGCTGATGATTGTTAGTGTTTAGCAAGTTATGAATTTAAGCTTCCAGGCTTGTCTTTTGAAAGCGTTGTGCAGGTGTCCTTTGAGGATGAGGACTGATAGATCAGATATAGAATGATCGTTTTGTGAAAAGTGTTTATACACAGGTGATGTGGTGTTTGTCTTTTATTATTTTCCTGTGCAAGTTAATTTGAGAGTGTAGTGATTGTGTGGTTTCACCCCCATAGTTGTTCTTGGGGCACTTAGCACACTGGATGTGGTAACCACATGTTGTGTTAGGCATGCGTAAGATCCGTGGATCTCGAAAGATGTGTTGGGGAGTGTGTTGATCATTGAAGCAGTGGAGATGTATCTGCATGTTTTGCATCTGTTGTTCTGGCAGGGTCTGGTGCCGCTTTGAGATGGTGTACCCTGGTCTGTGGAGAACTTGCTTCTGTTAATGAAGTTGAGAGGTTGTTTGAAGGCCAGAAGAGGGGATTCAGGAAAGATTTCTTTCAGGATAGGGTCCCCGTTCAGTATGGGTTATAGTTGTTTGATACCCTGTGTAGGTTCCAGTGTGGGGTGATAAATGACTACTAGGGGTATGTGCTCAGAGGAGGTTTTATTTCTGTATTGAAGCCAGTTTTCTAACTACTTATGCTAAGCTTGTCTCTCTAGTTCTACAACAACACATTCTTGGGACCTTTCACTTGGGTTTTGTAGACTCTTCCCAGCATTTCTGAAGTCTGCTATTAAAGTTAGGCTGAGGGGATGTTAATGGAAGACTTCCTTGGTGTGAACTTTTGCTGTGTTTGAAACAGATAGTTTAGAACAAGGATTGGGGGAAAAAAAAAAAAGAACCAGGCACCATTTAGAAGTAGACACGAAAGACAAGGTCGGGGTTCCTACCAGCAAGATCGAGGAATGCCATGTGGGTGAGAAGTCTGCTGTCCCCTCCCCTAGCTGCTTGGAGGAGTGGAGGGATTTCTCCTAGGATGCATTAGGAGCCCGCTTGTGGGGCTTTTATCATTCGTATCAGCCTGAGGCTGGTAGATTTCAGATATACTTAAAGATCCCCATTCCTCTTTTTGCTTAGGCCTGGTTTAAATATAGTTTTTGTATTGGTGTAACTACTTTGGTTATGGGTGTGGCATTTTTTTAAACAACTAGTTATATTGGGGTAAGAGTTTTCACACTATGGGGTTATGCCCCTGTACTTTATCCACCTTCCTGTAAAGGTATAGGCTCTTTCCTGTGTGGTGAAGATGAGAAGGGTGCCAGCTAGAGAAAGAAGATGGTTGATTTCCTAAGTTTAATTCTCAGCAATGACAATTAAAGATTTACTCAGTTCTAGTGGACAGATTCAAAAACCTGTAGCCCATTCAAGGAAGGATGGAAGTACAACTCCCCAATGTGGACCATTTATATTAGTATAAAAATGCTTTTACTGAAATAATATAATAATAATAATTAATGGAGATATCCCATCTCCTAGAACTGGAAGGGACCTTGAAAGGTCATTGAGTCCAGCCCCCTGCCTTCACTAGCAAGACCAAGTACTGATTTTGCCCTAGATCCTTAAGTGGCCCCCTCAAGGATTGAACTCACAAGCCTGGGTTTAGCAGCCAATGCTCAAACCACTGAGGTATCTCTCCTCCCACTGATAGGCTGACACTGTATTTTATGAGGTCAGCTGGCTGTGCACACAAACAGTGAATTGAAAGTGAACTGAGCAGGCTTCTTGTTATTATGTAGTGGCCTAATGGCTCTTTAGAATGGCAGTTACTGACTGAGACCAAAGTTATGTTAATGTTAAGTATCAAGAAGTGAGGTTCTTACCCACGAAAGCTTATGCTCCCAGTACTTCTGTTAGTCTCAAAGGTGCCACAGGATCCTCTGTTGCATGTTAATGTTAGTTTCACTGGCATCCTATTTGGATAACTTGAATGAGCTTTACATTGCTCAGAACATTGACTTGCTTCTTGACTTTCTCATGTTTATAATGCACTTGCTCTTGAATGAATTGCAAGCTAGATGGTTCAAGGTTCAAACTGTTTTTCTCCTCCAGGTCATGTAGAAGAGCAGATTTCGTATGAAGATGGGATTGTTGGTGTTTATGCGTAACCTGCTACTAGCCCTTTGTCTCTTTCTGGTACTTGGATTTCTTTATTACTCTGCATGGAAGCTGCACCTTCTCAGATGGGAGGACACAAGTAAGTATAGGAACTCTTGCCAGTCCCTCTTTAAATGCTCATGAAGTAGTTGGTGGTGGTGTGGTTTTGGTTTTGTGTATTTCAGGTTTGACGGTAGTAGAGTGATGGGAATAAACCCAATCAATTTCTGGAGCTTCAGCATACTGTAGAGGTTGAATTTGTAACTATTTACAGATCCTCTTCATGGCTTTGGATTATCAGTGGGTACAAGAATAAAGTTCATGCATCTAATATACCAATTATAGGCTTGCAATTTTTAGGTTTTATTATATTTTTTGTGGCATGGGATCCTTAATTATATTGTTCAAATAGGAATTATATATAATTGACCTTTGGAATTATTTGTATCTGTTCTGGGAGGAGGTTTTGCTCACTGTGTATTTTTTGAACCTTTTGGCTTATGGCAAACAGGTAAAGCAAGATGGTCTCTCTCTCTCTCTCCAGGTGCTTTTGAATTTCTTCAGTGGGCTCTTCTTTCCATCTCTGAATTTTTACATTCTCTATCCAGCCTCTCCTTATTTATTCCTTACATCAATCCTCATTTTCCCTTTCTCCGCTACCTTCAGTACTTGCCAGTAATCTGTCATCTTGAAGGATGTCTCCTCCATCCAACTGAAAAAAGCTTGTCCTTATTTTTAAGTTATGAAATCAGTTACTCAAATCCATGCTGATTATTTAATGTTCCTTTGCGTATAACTTTGGTCTGCAACTGTTCTTTTCACTATACTATTTCCGTAGTAAAGGGTACTCCTCACTTCCACCTCTCTTGGTTTCTTATCGCATCTTGTCTGATGACTGAGTCAGTGAGCTGTAAGTACCCGGCTCCCCCTTATTACATCATTAAGACAGCAGGAATGCTGTTATTGAGTTTGTTTGTAACTTGTCTGGTATTCAAGTAGGTTAGAAGATACTTTAGATTGTAAGACCTTCTGGACAGGAATTGTCTGTGTGTGTGTGCTCAGCAACCAGCGCAAATGGTGCTTCAGTCCTGATTGGGGCCTTTGGGTGCTATTACAATATAAATATTAATAGCTACTGCTATTAATAATCTGTGGGAAAGTGCTTCCATTCTGAATGGAAGGAACAAGCCGAGGGAGGTTTTAAAATGAGTGCAGTGGCACAGCCTGTCAGTCTGTTAAGAATGCTGTGTATCTTCATCCTTCTTTTATTTATTTTATTTTATTTTATTTTTTTAACAGCATCAAAAAGTGTTGAGGCTTTCCAGAACCTGGAAAGACATGGTTCCTACCCAAACAGATCACAATCTGATTTTAATTTACTTATGCTATCTGTGCTTTGTACCGTACATGGTGCATGGAAAGATGTTAGCGTAGTCTCTGAATTTCCTTGTGGTGTGTGGTTTTTTTTTTTTGCATGTTTATCCTTTGTTCGTTTAGCTTTGTGTGTGGTATGCTAAAATGACCAATGTTTTTAATTCCAGCATGATTCTTTATGTAGTAATGACAAATGCTTAACTTCTTGTTCATCCTTTTAAGTCAGTTCACATGACATCCCAGATCTCCAGGAATTTAACATGTGAATGCATGATGCTGTTGGTTGCTACAGGACACAGCCTAACAGAATAGCTTCTAAAGGGGCTGCTTTCTGAGCAGGTTTCATATCCCTGTAACGCCCAGAGGCAATGAGATGATTGCAGGATGAAGTAGCAGCTGTACAAATACACAGCAAAGGATCCTGTTTAAGATGCAGCTTACTGATCTCACAGACTGATAACTCTTTTTCTGCTGTTACCTGTTCGTACAAAAGATGTTACCGGGAACCTTACAAATTATTGTAATGGTCTTATTGACCCAAAGGAGCACTAACAGATACTGGTGTAAAAATGCAAGCTTTCCTAAGTCCAGGCAAGCCTCAGATTCCCCTTAGATTCTAAGTGTCTGTGTGGTACATGCAGTTGATTTCTCCCCCCCTTCTCCCCCCAAATACTCTCACAACTTATTCTTTGAAAGAAGTATGAAGTTTAACTTATTAAAAAAAACACACTAGGGAACTACATACAAAAACCTGTTATAAGGAAGTTAAGGTTGCAAAGTCAAAAGATTTGAAATTTAAGAAATGCCAAAAGTAAGGTTTCCCAGGCATTCAGTACCTTTTTTTATCCTTATTATTCAGTGTGTGCTCTTACCATGTAATTAATGACTATACAGCATTCACATGAGAGAGCAGAATTAAGGTTGGCATTTACTAACTTAAGTACTTGTCCTGACACCCTAAATATACTGTTTCTTTATGTAATTCTATATACTCTTTCTCCATCTTCTATAACCAATGTTTTTGTCCTGACTGACTGACTGAATGACTCTTCAGCTTTTGGTGTGTGGTGTTCATCTCCCTTGCCATTCTGCTCCATTCTTTGTGCTACCAGCAGCATGAAATTCACTGTAATCCTGATGACTGATGCATCTGTGCTCTCTTCAGAGATCATGATTCTAGTGAATTTAACTCTTATGTTGTGCTTGCCATAGAGTGGTATGGAGTGCCGTGAAAGGTGTGTGGCCTACTTCACAAACCTTTGCACCCACTTTGGTCTCTTTTTGGTGCATTAGAATATGGTTGTGCACCAGACTGTTGGATGAGTGTGAATGGTGACACAATGGTGACACTGTAAGGAATCTAGCCATACTAGGCTTTAACCTTTGGATTTCTAAGCAGTTGCTGTACCGTTTGAACTAAAGAAGAATGCATGGCCAAAAAGCTTCCTTAACACAGAGTTAAGGTTCCATCAACTTTAAGGCCAGAAGGGACCATAAGAACATCGAGTCTGACCCGCTGTGTATTCTGGGCTGTTCATCCAGATAGCCTTATATTGGGCTCAATGACTTTAGCTAGACTAAAGCATTTCAGTCCTCAGGAGACTAAACATTGAGTGCCATAGGCAGAGAATAGGAGAGATGCCACCAATGGCTGAAGCCCCTGCCACGTCAGGGAATTGATTAGGTGAAATATGCCTAAATGATCCTAGCAGGGGATCCATGTTGTAGAGCAGTGGTTTTCAAACTTTTTTCCTGGGGACCCAGTTGAAGAAAATTTTTGATGCCTGCAACCCAACGGCGCTGAGGGGTTTGGGGCTGGGGCAGAGGGTTGGGGTGCAGGATGAGGGTTGCAGGGTGGGGCTGGGAATGAGGGGTTCAGGGTGTGGGAGGGGGCTCTGGGCTGCGGCAGGGGTTGGGGTGCAGGAGGGGGTCAGGGCTCTGGGCTGGAGGTGCAGGCTCTGGGGTGGGGCCAGGGATGAGGTGTTTGCGGTATAGGAAGTGGTTCCTGGTTTGGAGGGGACTCAGGGCTGGGACAGAGGATTGGAACATGGGGTTGGGGCGCAGCCTTACCTCCGGTGCCTCCCGGTCAGCAGTGCAGCCAGGTGCAGAGGCAGGCTTCCCACCTGTCCTGGTACCACAGACTGCGCTGCGCCCTGGAAGCGGCCAGCAACAGGTCCGGCTCCTAGGCGGAGGTATGCAAGTGGTTCTGCATGGCTCTTTCCACAGGCACCACCCTCCCAGCCAATGGGAGTGTGGAGCCCTGTGGACCCCCTGCCTAGAAGCTGGACCTGCTGCTGGCCACATCTGGGGTGCAGCATGGTGTCGGAACAGGTAGGCACTAGCCTGCCTTAGCTGGGTAGCACCGCCGACGGGACTTTTAGCGTCCCGGTCAGTGGTGCTGACCAGAGCCACTAGGGTCCCTGAGCACTGAGCAAGGCGACCCAGTGCCTTACATGCGGCGACCCAGTACTTGGTCATGACTCGAACTTTGAAAAACATTGCTGTAGAGGAAGGTGATGGTGAGGGTCATCCCAAGGTCCCTCCCAGTCTGATCTAGTGGAGTGGGGGCGGAATTCCTTCCCAAGACAAAATCTGGTGATCAGTTGGACTCTGAGTATGTGAGCAAGATGCACCAGCCAGGCATCTAAGAAACAGGATTATTTGTACCGACTCAGAGCACTAGTCCATTTCATTCCATGTCCCATTACCAGCTGTGACCAATCTCTGATGCTTTAGAGGAAGGCGGGGGAAACAGACCCCAGAATATATCAGGCCAGTTGGAGGGGAGGGGAATATCTTTCATGACCCCTGCAGGCATCTATCTGAAGTATGAGATTTGATCATAGTTATTGTCTTAATGCAGAGCTACAAGTATTATGAGTTCAGCACAATGTATAGCTTCCTGTTCTTCCCATGGCCTGTGAAGGAAGGGAATGAACAGTGTGATTCACAGATACCAAAGCTGGATGGGACCATCAAGACTAACCTCTCTCTCTCTTCCACACACTCTCTCTCACACACATCGTAGAATTTATCCCAGAAACTGAATTCAAGCATGCTTTTAGAAAGATATCTAATTACACCTAATGACTCCAAGCGGTGTTGAATCTACCACCTTCCCTGGTAAGCTGTTCTAATGTTGAATTTTGTTTACTGTTAGGAGGTTGCATCTTGTTTCAAGGTTGAGTTTGTCGAGCTTCAAAATCCAATGGCTGGAAGCTGTTATGCTTTTGTAAGCAAGGTTGAAAACTCCCACACTATCATATCTTTTTCCATGTGTAAGTACCTATACACAGAGATTAGGCCACCCCTGAACCTTCTCTGTGATAAGTTTAGTTCCTTAAGCCTCACAGTGTAAGGTTTGTTTTTCATCCGCTGGATCCCAAAAATGATCCTCTTTCACAATCTTGCTAGTATTTTCACATCCTTTTTCAAGTGAACTGGGCACAGTACTCTAGCATTGGTCTGACCAATAAGGAGTATAGAGGCAAGATTTCTTCCCTACTTCTACTTTATATCTCCTTCTTATACATCCAAGGATCACATTAGCCCTTTTTGCCACAGCATTGCAGTGTGTGCTCATGTTAGGGGTCATTGTAGGTAATCACCTCAAATCCCTTCTCTGAGTCACAGCTTTCCAAGCCAGTCCCCCATCTGGATAGATACAGATTGCATTCTTTGTTTCCAGATGCATTACTTTGTTAAAACATGTTTTGTTGGATTGTAATGGTCTACAAAGGTGATTCAGATCACTCTATCAGTAACCCATCTGTCCTCCTTGTTATTTAATACCCCCAAACTTTGTCATCTGCAAATATTACCAGCACAGATTTCATTTAATTATCTAGATTGTTAATTTAAAAAAAACCAAACTGAATAGTATTGGACCAAGCACTGATCCCTGAGAGACCTTGCTAGATATGCCCTGCTCCTTGATGTTTTCCCCATTAGTAACAATATTTTGAGATCTGTAACTGAGCCAATTTTAATCCATCTAATTTGTAAGCCCTGTTAGTTCCATATAATGCAAGTTTTTTAATCAAAATGTCATGTGGAACTAAGTCAGATGCCTAGGTGAAATCCAAGTGTACTGTATCAACATAGTTGCCTTTTATCAGCTAGACCTCCAACAAACCAAAACAAACCAACAACCACCCAGGGTTGTTTGCCAAAATCTGCCTTCTGACTGGCATTAATTATATTTTTAGCCTCTAATGCTTTGAAAGTCCTGAGTTAACCATTCCATTATCTTACTCAGGATTAACGTCAAGTTAACTGGTCTATAGTTCTCTGGGTCATCCCTTTTGCGTGCACTCTCCCTCTCATTTTTTTTTTAAACGCATATTAACACTAAAGGATCGGCAGCCCTCCAATCCTTTGCAATTTTGCTAGATAGCCAAGATTTGGTAAAAATTAACCTTAGTGATTCAGAGAGCTCCTCAGCTAGTTCTTGTAAGACTCTTGGGTGTAAGTTATCTGGCCTGTGGAATTGAAAGTGTTTAACAGATGTTACATCACATCATCCTTTGTTACATATGGTAAACTTTCTGTTCCATCCGCAATACCATATGGGATGGACATATCCTTCTGGTTTGTTTCAAATATAGACCAGTAATATATATTGAATACTTCAGCCTCTTCTACATCACTATTTTTTTACTGTCTGCATCTAGGAATGGACCTATACCTGACACAGGGTTTTTCTTGTTCCTAATAATTGTTAAAAATTTCTTCTGACTGTCTTTAACCCTGTTGGACATTAAAGGATTCCCTTAATGAAATATCAGCTTCCCTTAAGTCACCTAAATTTTTAATTTGTAACTTATATTCACTGCAATTTACTTCCCCTTTCTTCCATTCTTATTTATTTTATTACTGCTTTTACATCTACTTTTAACCAGGATGGCTTCTTGTAACTTTTTTTCATGTCTATGGAATCATGGCTGTTTAGGTTCCTGGTAGGATGTCCTTAAACAGCTCCCAGTTTTCATTAACACTTCCCACTTTAAATTTAATGTTCCTAATTATGCTGACAGTTGTTTTAAACTTGGAAAACCGGCTCTTTTAGAGTTCCAAATATACATATTATTGGTCAGTGCTGTGTTCTCTTTGCACAAAGTAAATGTACCCTGATTGCAATCACTGGTGCCTAGGTAATTGCTGGTCTTAGATCAGCACCTAACTCTTCCTTGTGTGTCAGAATGAGGTCCAATATTGAATTATGTTGGGCTTAATTTGGGGAGGGGGGGACGGGACTCAGTACATCCTTTCTGTAGCATAGGTGACTTGCTATGTGTAGAAATGGCCCATTTATCTCAGTGGGTGCTGTCAGCTGAATGAGGACCCCCGAGATATTACATTTATTGAACATGCCTGTTCTTGTTTGCCATCACAGACTCAGTCTGTCGTGCCTAGTGAACCTGGCAGGAATTCAGTGAGCATCTCCCAGCACAGAATTGATCCAGCTCTCCTTGTGTAATTTTTACCATGGCACCAAGTCCCTCTCATATCAGCCCAGTGACACACTACCATACTAGGCTTTATATCATGGGCACAGTAATGCCCCCAGCCGGTCCCAGGATGGGATTTGGCACTGGATGATTACTGGTGGAGTGCTGATATTCCTCAAACTGGCACTCACCCTTCCCTTCCAAAAGATAAATCTGCAATAACTTGAAATATTTTGTTTTCTAAACTGGTTCTTAGGCGCAGTCCAAGGACAAATGGTTCCAAATATTTGAGAATTAAAAGCAGGTGACTTTGGGGTGCTGTAACTTGGGAGCTCCTCGACCAAATAACCCAAGACTTGCCCCACCAACACTCCAGCCCCTTAACAGTTATAGCAGTTTTCAAGAGACATATGCATACAGACTTTAGAGCTGATTTTTTTTCAAGGTGCTCTCACAAAGCTGCCCAACGGTAAGCATGGACATTCCTATCGCTCCTCTATAATTCCCACCAGTGTTCCCTCTAATTTTTTCCATCCATGTGCCGAATAAATTTTGTTATGTGCAGCACCAATATTGAGGTAATAGGCGGATGTGTGCCATCCCCTCCATACTTTCACGGCAGCCCTTATCCCACTAAGAGCTCACAACGTCCTACTGCTAGTACCATCTAGGGATGGTCTGTCTTCAGGTGACGTCTGCAATACCCATCTGTTCATTCCTACAAGCCTCCTTCCACAAGGATCAATTCGTGCTTCGCAAACTATACATAGAAATGCACCACTGAAATGCAGCCACCTCTGAGGAGGAAAGTCAGCAGCCAGCTAGGCCAACAGCACAGAGAGCACTGTGCAGTAGTTTGGAAAGAGAAGGGGAATTTTGGATAGGAAGAATCTTTTCCTCTTATTCAAAATGCTTGAAATATTCAGTGTTCAGACTGGGCTTCATCTGTAAAGGTCTCATATGAATGTAAAATATAATACCGCAATTTAGAAATCAAAGTAAATGTTTCTTTTTAAATCAGGACACTAAGGCTCAAAATAATTTTTAAAAAACACTCACATTCCCTTTACTACCATCCTCTTGTATTAACAATACAAAGCACTTTAAAAGTCCTATGAACTATTCAGCCTTCATGTTGTTTATATTTTACACTGGATTAGCTTGGACAATTGAAGTAGCACAGTCAAGTTCACCTTCAGATTCTCATGCACACATACAGTGTTCTAATGTCTCGGTTATTACAGTGAAACACATACAGCTCTGTAAATTTACACAGCACTTTACAAATACATGGACTCAGGCAAAATTTCACTTGACATGAAGTTCTCCCACTTCTTTCCATGAGGCCACTCACGTGAGTAACCGCTACATGAGTAATACTTTACAGGATCAGGCCCCTAGATAAACCACATGTCCTCCTGCCCACAAAAAGCTTTGCAAACACTGCGAGGGGAAGTTTAAATCCACAACAGGGAATTGTCTGGAAATCAGATGGGGAAACTGAGGCACGGTGTGGGTTGAGTTGGGGGTACAGAATAAACATCCCAACCTGTGGGCAGAACAGATACATACCCTCTTTGCAGTTGCTGTACTAGACCCTGTGATTCCTGCACACTGGTCTAGTAACATTCCTTGCCATGTCCACTGGATACATGTAACCATGGACTTTTTCCATTCCTTGGCCCATTCCTTAAGCTAGTGTGGAACCCAGTTCTGTGACATGTGGGAGGTACAATGTCCTCTGTGCACTCACTGAACAGTTACCCATTCACATGCAGCGTAACCATGACAGTTCTGCTGCATTGGGGGACTTTGTGTGGCAACCTGTGTTCCTGGGTGAATTTCAACAAATCTGTGCAAAGCTGACATTCACCCTAATGAGGGTTGCATACGGCAACAAACAGACCCCATAGTTTTCCCAAGGGGAGTGCAACCAAAATATACTTGTTTATCATCAGAATTTGTCTTAACTTTTATTTGTCTTACCTAGAGACTGTTCCTTTGCAATCTATAAATGAGAGAGGCTCACTCCTTCAGGCTGATACTTAAAGCTTTCATGGAATGCTTGACACATGCTCTTACTTCTGAATACAGAACACAGTTCAAGTTGAGGGACAATGTTCTAGTGATCCAGTGACTAACCTCAACACAAGAAAATTTCTGCCAGCTGATCCAAGTAATTAATCTCTCATGCAATGGTAAGCCAGGGACAGTGAAATACTAATTTTGCCATTTTTTAAAAGCATGAGAAAAAATAATGTAGATAGTGTAATGGCAAAAAAAAAATGTAAATGATAGCTAATGGCCAAGAATGAGGTTTATAAGACCTTTACATGAAGTTAAAACTTATCAACTGATGTGGAGCTTGCTAGAATCATTCTCTGGCAGACTACTGACTGTTTTATCGAGGCATTATCTCCTGGCTATTCAGATGGTGACAAAACACATTCTGGTAATCAAGATACGATGTTGACCAGGAGAGAGAGGCAGCTGGAAGTTGAAACTAGACAAATTTAGACTGGAAATGTCTAAATTTTTAACAGTGAGAGTAATTGACCATTGGAACAGTTTACCAAGGGGTTGTGGTAGATTCTGCATCTCTGGCAATTTTTAAATCGAGATTGGATATGGTTCTAAAAAATCTGCTTTAGGAATTATTTTGGGACAGTTCTATGGCCTGTGTTATACAGGAGATCAGACTATATCAGTGGTCCCTTCTGGCCCTGGAATCTGTGAAATGTAAGTTAATGATACTTATATTAATGAGGAAATGTTTGAACAATTAGCTGTATGAGTTTGTATTTGTCCTTATAATTTTCTTATTATTGTACATTTTTGATTGTTGAACAGCATGACCAATGCATATTTTGTGCTTACTAATGCTTTTATTAATTTCTGTAGAAGTTTTGCAGTCTCCTAAAGGTTCCTGAAAATCACATGACAGGCATCCACCCTGTGGTACTGTAAGTGTGAAACCATTGCTGTCCTGGCTTTGCAAGTTGGGATAGTTCTATTTAGGAATGATACCAATTTGAATAATTGTCCATCTAATAATGCTTAAATCACTAGTAACTTTATGGCTTGTTTCACTTACTGTACCATTCTATATTCTGCAAACATACTGTATCCATTAAAAAGAAAGATTAAGAACAAAATGTATTGGGCAGGTTCTCCTAAGAAAGGAGACCATCACAGGTCTCTGGATGAACAGTTCTGGTCTTGCTTGTTTCTCTTTAGAAACTTAAGGGAATTCAGGATGGAGAAGAGTGTGCTCTGTAGTGAGCTGTGGTAGGCTGGAAGGATTCAAATTGAGGGACAGTTACATCTGAGTGTTTACAGTCGTGAATACTGGAATCAGGGCTTGGAAAGTAGCTTTCATTTGAAATCATTATTTTTAAACTTGCTTATAACTTTCCTAACAATTTTTCTTCAGGGTTGAAGCTTCCCAAAGCTGACTATATTTGGAAAGTATAATGTTACTCATGGACTATTCTCCTAATGATCTGTGGGCAAAGGTTACATAAATACGGATTAACTGCCCAAAAACTTTATTAATGCAGTTAAGGTTATTTAGTGCTCCATTGTGGACTTACAGAATATGGACAGAGGATAAACATAACCCTCTGAAAACCAAGAAATACAATTAAGGTTATGTGTCCAACACCAAACCTGACCTACCCCTAACAAATTCTGCCATTTTGTGTGTTGTCTAATCCAATTCTATACTATCATTCCCCTTTGTACACTCTGTGGCCCTCATTGTTAGGTGCCAGAGCTGGCACTGCCTTTTGAGGAGAGGTTGCAGCAGCAGTGAGAGGAGTTGGGGTCCTTCTTTTCTGGGTGCTTATACACACCATCGGAAGAGAAGATCACAATGGGTGTGTCCTACGCTGCAACAAAAGGCTGTGGCCGGCCTGGGTCAGCTTGAGCTTCGGCGCTATAAAATAGCCGTGTAGATGTTTGGCCTCAGGCTGGAGCCCAGGCTCTGAGATCCCATGACGGGGGAGGATCGCTGAGCTTGGGCTTCAGCCCGTGGTCAAACATCTACTGTGAAATGACATAGCCTTAGATTATGAGCCTGAGTCAGCTGACCCAGGCTCGGCGAATCAGTGCCAGGGGTTTTTTATTGCAGTGCAAATATCCCCAATGTCTCTTTGTCTCTAACATCTAAGAATATATGAAAGGAGTTTCAGGTTTGCTCAGACAGACGCCGTTGACATTGCCGTAGGTATGTCAAGAAAACGGGGGAATATGATTGCTTATCTCAGTCTAACACTCTTGCGTATTCTCAATGCCCACTAGAACTCTATAGCTGCATTGCCATTCACCAATGCCTTTCTGCCGCACCATTGTACTGGGGAGCTGTAGCCAACTGCTGGCACATATCACAGAACAAGGCTCAGTCAGGGGCAGCCAAACATGGGGTCCTAGAGGGAATTCTGAGGCCAGGGATGAACATTTATAAATATCTAGTAGCTCTTCAGGGGTTTGTGAGGAGTAGGCAAATGGTTGAGTGTAAGTCAGGCTTAGCTAACTACTGTTCAAGTCTAACCTAAGGTTGGCCAAAACCTAAGAGTTCTTCTTTGAGTGCTTGTTCCTGTCCATTCCAACCAGGTATGTGCGCGCCGCGGGCACACCAGTCGGAAGATTTTTCCCTTAGCAGAGTCCGAAGGGTCGGCCTGGTCGCCCCCTGGAGTCGTGCCTTCATGACGCCCAATATAGCACCCTGCCAGCCCCCCACCCCCTCAGTTCCTTCTTACTGCCAGTGACGGCTAGCTGGAACATCGCTCGCTCTCATGGCAAGCACTTTGGCAGTGTCTTCTGTAGTTTTTTGTACAAATGGTTTAAATAGTTAGTTAATTAGAAGTTCGTTAATTACAGTTGTGGTAGTTTAGATTTGTTTGGGGGGTTTCTCACCAACAACAACTTCCTCACCTCTGGGGTATGCCTGAGTTCCCAGGGTTTAAGCCCTGTGAGGACTGTGGCAAGTTTATGCCCAAGAATGACCCTCGCTCTTCCTGTCTGCGGTGCCTTGGGGAGAGGCACCAGAAGGACAGGTGCAGGATCTGTAAAGGTTTCCGACCCAGAGCCCTTAAAGACTGGGAGCAGAGACTTAAAATCCTGCTAATGGAGGCGGCAATACAACCACGCTCTGACTCCGGGCCCGCTGAACCCTCGCTGAGTACCTCTTCGTCAGTACGCAGTACTCTGGCGCCGACAGCACATGAACTGGTGCCAACTAAGGACCCTCGGCACCACCATGGCTTGGGCCATAAGACACCATTGTCGGTGTGGCACTGCTCTCAATCCCCAGTGCTGCTAAAGAAGGAAAGGCCGGAGAGGGGTTGGTCCCTCCCGCCAAAGTCTAAAGGTTCGGTGGTGTCCACGGGTATCTCATGACAGAACACCTTGTCCCTGCAGCCCAGTCAAGTCTGAAACCCCCACGGTCCCCGGATTGCCAAGGTGACCAGCTCCCATCTACGCCGGAGGCGTTTGAGACAGCCAAGGACCTGATGCACCTCTCGGTGCCGACCTCCTCACAGAGGAGGGCCAAGTCGCCGGTGACTGCGCAGCGCCACATCCAGTCTAGGGGCAAACCAGTGCTGATGGCACACCGATCTCCAGCCCCGGCGCACATCTCCCCACCACAGCCCATCCATGTAGGAGAGCCACACCGATCCCCGGCCTCTTGGCACCTCTCTCCAGCAGCCCAGGGCACAGCTCCTCCGTGGTCTTCCTATTCGGAGACCCCAGAGTTGGAGGCGGACTCCTACCATCTCAGCAGGTCCAGGAGCAGGAGGTCCAGATCCTGCCGGAGCCACCAGCCCTACCCGGCACCATGGCCTCGGCAGTGGCAGCCATAGTTTCAGTGGCCCTTTTGGATACCCTGGGCATACCACCGGAGCCAGGGACAGGTCCAAGGTCCCAGTTGGCGTCGGTGTCATCAGTGTCCTTTGTCCCACCGCAAGCAACGCTGGCACTGCCGACCAAAGCGCCCGCCCTGCTGTTACAAACAACAGCTCCAGCACTGACCAGCGGCACCGGCAACAGCTTTGGCTCCGACTCCATCTAGCGGCTCCTGCACTGACTGCAGCACCGAGGCTTCAACCTCCAGCGGCCTCGGCACCACATCCCACGGAATACTGCGTGCCAAGAGATCCAAAGGTGCTGAAGGCAGTGAGCAGGGTCTGCTGCCAGGCCTCTCTTCATCCTTGCCGGATGAAGCGGTTGCGGGGGCGTCGATGGACCCAGCTCTGGAGGATAATCGGGTTCTCCAGCAGCTCCTGCGCTGTGCTGCCCAAAGCCTGGGCATTCAGGCAGAGGAGGTGGTGGAGGAATCGAACCCACTTGTGGACATCCTCGGGTCCATCGCGGGTAGCCCTACTACTGATTAAGGTAATAATTGAAACGACGAAATCCCTGTGGCAGACCCCTGCTTCTCTGGCCACTACGGCCAAAAGATACAAATGGCATTATTTTGTCCCTTCAAAGGGGTATAAACACTTATACCCCTCCACCCCCCCGACTCGTTGGTAGTTGATGCAGCCAATCAGTGGCAGCGCCAGGGTTTCCAGGATCCCACCCTGAAAAATAGGGAGGCGAAGAGACTCGACCTGTTCGGCAGGAAGTTCTATTCAACAGGGGGACTACAGCTCTGCATCGCAAACCAGCAGGCTATCGTAAGCAGATATGCGCATAATACCTGCGCTGCGATGACCAAGTTTGCAGAGCTCCTGCTACAGGACTCTCGTACTGAGTTCTCCGCATTAGTGGAGGAGGGGAAGCCGTTCTCCCGAGCTACCCTACAGGCGGCTTTGGACGCGGCGGATGCAGCCTCACGTACACTAGCCACGGGGGTTGTAATGAGTTGGGCTTCCTGGTTGCAGGTCTCTGGTCTACCCCATGAGAGCCAACAAATGATCCAGGACCTCCCCTTCTAGGGCTCGACCCTGTTTTCTGAGAATAGGATAGGAGACTTCATAGTCTGAAGGACTCTAGGGCCACCCTAAGATCTCTGGGACGCCACACACCAGCCACTCAGTGTAGACATTTCAGACCTCAGCCTCCCTCCAGATTCTGCCAAACCCAAAACCACCAGGACGCCTCTCGCAGGAGAAATAGGAGCGGTAGAAGGAGGCAGCACTCCTCCTTGGGGCAGAGTTCTGGACAGCCCAAGCATCTGTCCGGCCCCAGACCCCCCTTTTGAAGGTGCGGTCGAGGACGGCTAACCAGTTTAGAATCTGGATCCATCCCCTCTTACCTTTTCGTCCTGTCTATCCCCTTTCTACCATGCTTGGTCCCGTATCACCTCGGACTGTTAGGTGCTCCGCACGGTAGAGAGGGGATATTCCATCCAATTCTGTGCCCTCCCACCCCCCTTCCCTGTTCCTCTTCAGGGACCCCCTCATGAGCAACTTCTAATACAGGAAGTGCAGTCCCTCTTCTTGGTAGGGGCGGTGGAAGAGGTTCCTCAGGGGCAAAGGGGCAAGGGCTTCTACTCCTGATATTTCCTAATACCAAAAGCCAAGAGTGGCCTCAGACCCTTCTGGACCTGTGGCAGCTCAATAAGTTTGTAAAGAAACTCAAGTTCCGCATGGTCTCGTTGACCTCCATTATCCCTTCATTGGATCCAGGAGACTAGTACGCTACCCTTGACTTGAAGGATGCATATTTCCACATAACAATAGTTCCTCTTCACAGACATTGTCTCAGATTTGTGGTGAACAACAGCCACTATCAGTTTACTATCCTCCCTTTTGGCCTGTCAGCAGCACCTCAAGTTTTCACCAAATGCATGTCAGTCCGCGTGGCATTCCTGAGCAAGCGCCAGATTCAGGTTTTTGCATACCTCGGCGACTGGCTGATCAAAGGCCACTCCAGATCCCAAGTGGAGGATCAGGTCGGCTTCATAAGAAGGACCTTCCTCAAACTAGGTCTCCTTCTCAACGAGGCCAAATCCACTCTGTCCCCGGTGCAGAGAATAGAGTTTATAGGCGCAGTACTGGACTCAACTCAAGCCCGGGTGTACCTCCTGGAAGCCAGGTTTTGGTCTCTAGGGGACATCATACAGGGCCTTGGACAGTTCCCTATGACCACAGCAAGGAACTGCCTGAAACTGCTGGGGCACATGGCTGCGTGCACCTATGTAGTCTAGCATGCCAGACTCAGACTATGCCCACTCCAGTCATGGCTTGCGTCGGTTTATCGACTGGTTCGAGACACTGGACAGCATTGTAACCCTTCCCCGCCCCGTACTAGATTCCTTTCTGTGGTGTCTCGACCCACAAGTAGTTTGTGTGGGAGTACCTTTCACCAGCCCCCAGCCATCCCTTTCATTAGTGACAGATGCCTCGGATTTGGACTGGGGGACACATTTGGGAGACCTCAGGACTCAGCCTCTGGTCTCAGGCGGACCTCGCTCAGCATATCAATGTCAAAGAGCTGAGAGCGGTGTGCCTGGCGTGCCAGGTTTTCAGAGCCCACATATCGGGCAGATGCATATCAGTCCTCACGGACAACACCACAGCAATGTTTTATATCAACAAACGGGGGTGCACGCTCCTCTCCCCTGTGCTGGGAAGCCCTCATGCTGTGGGACTTCTGTGTAGAGCATTCGATACACTTGCAGGCTTCATAGTTCCCTGGGGTACAGAACGAGCAGGTGGACAGCCTCAGCAGATCTTTTCACAGCCATGAGTGGTCCCTTCGGCCAGACGTAGTGAGCTTAATTTTCCATCTCTGGGGCTTTCCCCAGATAGACCTGTTCACCATGTGCAGCAACAGGAAGTGTCAACTATTTTGCTCCTTCATGAATCACAGGGTTCCATCGTGGATGCCTTTCTTCTTCCATGGGGGGACCATCTGCTTTACACATTCCCACTAGTACTGCTGGTCCACAAGGTGCTTCTCAAGGTCCACAGGGACTGGGCTTGGGACATATTGATAGCTTCGGCATGGCCGCGCCACCACTGGTTCATGTCGCTCCTGGAAATGTCCGTGGCAACCCCGCTCACTTTACCGCTGGTCCCGGACCTGATCACGCAGGATCACGGCCGTCTCTGGCACCCGAACTTAGAATTGCTCCACTTCACAGTTTGGCTGCTCCATGGCTGAAAGCTATGGAACTGTCCTGTTCTGACCAAGTCAGACAAGTTCTCCTTGGCAGTAGGAAGCCCTCTACAAGGGCAATGTACCCTGCCAAGTGGAAGAGGTTCTCTCTCTGGTCGGAGCAGCACCATCAGTCGCTGACGCTCGCCCCGATCCCATTTATCCTGGACTACCTCCTCCATCTTAAACAACAGGCTCTGTCCATGTCGTCAATAAGGGTCCACTTGGCCGCCATCTCCGCCTTCCATCCAAGTGCAGACGGCTTCTTGGTCTTCGCGAACCCTATGGTCAGCCGTTTTCTCAAAGGCCTCGACAGACTCTACCCGCAAACGCATCAGCCTGTCCTGGCCTGGGACCTTAACCTGGTCCTTGCCAGACTTACAGGCCCTCCATTTGAGCCACTGGCGATGTGCTCCCTGCTTTATCTCTCTTACAAGGTGGCGTTCCTGTTGGCGATAACCTCAGCTAGGAGAGTGTCGGAGCTCAGGGCCCTTACATCTGAGCCCCCTTACAAAGTATTTCATAAGGACAAGGTTCAGTTCAGACCTCACCCGGGTTTTCTCCCTAAGGTTGTCTCCCAGTTTCACATGAACCAGGACATCTTCCTTCCAGTGTTTTATCCTAAGCCACATTCCTGCGACAGGGAGCGAAGGCTTCATTCATTGGATGTCCGCAGAGCGCTGGCCTTCTATATAGAGAGAACTAAGTCGTTTCAAAAGTCCATCCAGTTATTCCTAGTGGTGGCAGACAGGATGAAGTGCATCCCCGTCTCATCCCAACTCATCTCGTCGTGGATCACATCATGCATTCGGGAGTGTTACGGCCTGGCAAAGGTGCTGGCTCCG